TAAAAAAAAAAAAACAACTCCCTGGAAGAGATGCAAGTGTTGGGCAGATATTGCGTCACTGATCGCCGCTGCTTGCACATCCCTGTCAGCAGTGCAGCCAAGCCTCGCGTCTCTCCTGGGCTGCGTTTTAGTCTCCCTGCTCTATATCACCCTTTGGGCCTGATCATGCACAAGGTGTTTTTCGTAATTCCCCCTTCCCTGCAGTGCTGAAGGTTTTCCAGTCAATGGTTTTAGGAAACCTCTTCCCTCTGGCTTTGCTGGTCCTCTTCCTTTCTAAGCGATCGTGAACTGGGTTTTCATTTTGCCTCTGCTGCTAGAGCAGAGGACAGGACAGACCCTCTTTACCAGGCAATGGCCTTGCAAACTCCTAATGGTTTCTTCTTTCCTCTCCCCGTCTTTCTCCAGGGCAAACCTAGTAGACCTTCAGAAGAAACTCGAGGAATTGGAGCTAGATGAGCAGCAAAAGAAGCGCCTGGAAGCTTTTCTCACGCAGAAAGCCAAGGTTGGGGAGCTGAAGGACGACGACTTTGAGCGGATCTCTGAGCTGGGAGCTGGCAATGGTGGTGTGGTCACCAAAGTGCAGCACAAACCCTCAGGGCTCATCATGGCACGAAAGGTAACGGAGGGGCAGGTACCTGCGTCCTGCTGAAGCTGTGATAGCGTTAATGCACTTATCCCACTCCAAGAAGGCAGGATTGAGTTGAGATCTCTCTGCACTAACCCATTCTCATAATGAACTGAGTGCTAGTACTGTGAAATTGCTTTCTGTCTTGGTTTTCAGCTCTGGAGACTTTCTCCTGCTGCCCTGGAACGGAGCTGCCGTCAGCCCAGGGCGGCTGTTGCACATAACAGAGGGAGGGGAATATGGTTTCCTGCACCTTCTTGCCATACCTGGCAGCCAGGTCATGTTTGTGAAATGGGCTCTGCTCTGCCCTCCAAATTTGCATAGGAACCTCTTCATCTGGGCTGCTAATGACTGCCCCTGCTGTGCTGAGCTGGGTTTTGTGCGGAGCCTCTCTCCCCTGTCTCTTGGCAATCCAGACGTTTCACCCTCGTTGGTCGTCTCTCCTGGGAGAGGCAATGTGCTCTGCAGCGTATCCCTGGGTTTTTGCAACGCATCTTGTTGGAAATACAAGCTTCTTTTTCGATCATCTAAGCAGGGTGAAGAAAACGGGCAACAGAGTCCTAGACTGTGGCAGACAAGGAATGAAAGTTGCTCGTAGGAGTTACAGAGAGAAGGATTCCCTGTGAGCACAGTGGCTTCCCTACTGCAAGCCTAAGCACTCCGCTGCTCCTGCACAGACATGAGAAAACTGTGTGTGCTGGGCTTACCTCTCAGCTTCCTCTTAATTGATCCTCCAGATAGATCCAAGCAGCCTTGCAAGCCTGGCATGACAATAGTTCTCCTCAAACATAGCTTTATGCGAGTTACCTCTTATTTTGATGCCCTGTAATAGAAAAGCAGATGATTTATCTGCCTATTAGAAAGGCTGGTGCTCAGTGAGGGAGAAGCCCGTGGTGATGAGACTCTTGATGCTGACACTAAGGGTAGATGCTTTTGTAACCTGGCATTATGTTTTCTAGCCTCTAAGGCTTCCCTACCTGCAACTTTGTTAGCTGACTCTACTTGAAGCCCAAGGAATAATGCATTTGGTTTTTCAAGTGCGCGTATATATATATAAAATGTGTTTTATATATGTTACTTTCTGTGGTTTCCTTGATACTGGAACGCCTCTTATATTCTTACAACTCCTACAGAGCTTGTGAAAATGTTGCATACGGAGTTAGATCTGCACCTAGCTTCAGAGTGAGCTTTCTGCCCAGTATCCTGTGTGATCTCTGCATTTGTCTCAGTTGCTAAAAAGCTGCACAGCATGCTGGTTGTCTCCTTTATCCTAAATGTTTAGTTGGAAAATTAGGTCAGAGAAGAGCTTCCTCAAATGCGTTTTCATTTCTTTCCAGCACTGAGGACATGTTCTCATTGTTTTTCTTTTGGTGGTGGTGGGTTTGGGGGGTTTTTTGTTTGTTTGTTTGTTTTTCCAGGTACTATGATATTTTTTTTTCTCTTTCTTGGTAGCTAATTCATTTAGAAATCAAACCGGCCATCAGGAATCAGATTATCCGGGAGCTGCAAGTGCTGCATGAGTGTAATTCCCCGTACATTGTGGGTTTCTATGGAGCCTTCTACAGTGATGGGGAGATTTCCATCTGCATGGAGCACAT